ATGTGTGCAGATAAGAGGTCACTGGGGAGGTGAAATAACAAGGCTTGGCCGTGAGTGGAACCCAGCACCCATGGTGCCCCTCTTGAGAGGGGGAAGATGTCACCTGAGATGGAAGATGGAAAGACCAGGGTCCCTGTGGCTGAGGACTGAGCCTGTGTTTGAGGTTTCACAGAGGAGTGAAGGCAACACAAGAGGCAAGAGTTGGAAGAAAGGTGACAAGGAACAAAAGTCAGCCATGCCTGATGCTACTGGGTGGCCAGCAACAATGCAGACTTGGCCAAGGCTCTGAGAGCTTTATTATGCTGGGACTGGAGGTCAGAGTTGAGGCTAGGGTAAGAGCAGGGGGCTCAGATGGAGGGGGAGGAGGACCTGAACAATGTCCAGAAGGGAAGAGATTTGAATCTCTATCCAACAGAGGACCCTGTGAGCAGCACAGAGGGCACAGCAAGGGACATCCCCCAGTTCTCCAAATGCTCAGAGCCACAAGTGAAGCCGAAAGTGAAAGACAAGATGCAGAAAACCGCCACGGGCCTTTGAAGGGTAAAGGCGAAAGCGAAAGCAGGAAGGACAGACGTCGAGCCTAGCAGAGGACTTTTTAGTTCCTCACTGGCCCCACTTGTCTGACCGACTCATCCACCCGCGACCCCTAATCCGCTCTGCCTGCCCCAAGATGCTGAAGCCAGCCTTGGAGCCCCGAGGGGGCTTCTCCTTCGAGAACTGCCAAAGGTGAAGCGGGGGCTGGGGAGGGGACGATCACTCCTGAGTCACCTCTGCTTGGTCGTGGCCTTTTTTCCTGGCTGGGGGTGGGAGAGGGTGTGTTGGGCGACTTGGGTTCCAGGCTTACCCCGGAAGATGAGGGAGACGGGGACCAGGTTAGGGGAAGCAACAGGGGTACTGGAAGCAGAGCCGAAACCTGGGCGCTCTTCTCCGTTTCCAGAAATGCATCCTTGGAACGCGTCCTCCCGGGGCTCAAGGTCCCTCATGCACGCAAGACAGGGACAACCATCGCGGGCCTTGTGTTCCAAGTGAGCAGCGGGGAAGGACAGGGGAGCTGGAGGGGAGCCGGGAGTATCGAGCAGGCACTGAGGCTGCGGTCCCTCCCTCTCCTCAGGACGGAGTCATTCTCGGCGCCGACACGCGAGCCACTAACGATTCGGTCGTGGCGGACAAGAGCTGTGAGAAGATCCACTTCATCGCCCCCAAAATCTAGTGAGACTCACCAGCCCAGTTCCCTCACGCAAAAGAGAACGGCCCCCTCGTTCCCACTCCGGTCCCGGCACGTGCCAGCCCTGCCCACACCGATCCTCCCTTTTCCCTCAGCTGCTGTGGGGCTGGAGTAGCCGCTGACGCCGAGATGACCACAAGGATGGTGGCGTCCAAGATGGAGCTACACGCGCTATCCACGGGCCGAGAGGCCCGCGTGGCCACGGTCACTCGCGTCCTGTGCCAGACGCTCTTCCGGTGCGGGGGCGGGGCTAACAGGATCCCCGGAGGGGTCGTTGCCGGCACGGGCCGATGGAAGGCGGGACAGAAAGGGGGGCGGGGCCGCGACGGGCCAGGTGACCGGAAGAGGCCAGCCCAAGAGAAGCTGGGCTATCGGAAAAGGCTATGTCAGTCATCGGGCGCCACATCACAGGAAGGGGCGGGGATAGTACCTAAGGGCGGAGGCATAGAGGGGCGGGGCCTAGGCCCCTGCCTGTGACCGACCCCGCCCATCCTCGAGCAGGTACCGGGGCCACGTGGGTGCATCGCTGATCGTGGGCGGCGTAGACCTGACTGGACCGCAGCTCTACAGCGTGCATCCCCATGGCTCCTACAGCCGTCTGCCCTTCACAGCCCTGGGTGAGCACTTCTGTCCCTTCTCCTCGAACCCTGCCCCTGTGACCTTGGCCTCACGGTTGTACTCCAAACTGGGTGGCAGCGGTTGACTTCAGATGGTTCTCCTGCCTTCAGGCTCTGGCCAGGGCGAGGCCCTGGCGGTACTAGAAGACCGGTTCCAGCCGAACATGACGGTGAGCGGCCTCTGTCCCCGACTATGTGGTCGCTGGTGGGATGTGCACCCGGGAGCTGGGGGAGCACAGGACCCTAGCCCGGTGTGGAGGTGGGGGAAGGCTTGGAGGTGGTGACCACTGAAGGGTGAGTGGAGTAAGGGCAGAGAAGTGCGGTCCTGGCACAACACCGTCCAATACCAAAGCCTGGACGGTTGGGAGAAGTCGAAGCTCACAGAGGATCTTTTGGAGCCCAGGGCAGAGGGAAGGACCAGTAGGGTCACACTTATATCAACGTCTGGAGCCTACATTTTGTTTGGGGTGGGATGGAAGCAGGTGATATTGCCTCAGAGGTGGCTAAGGCTCAGAGGGAGAAACACAGTGGGGGTTTGGGGTGCAAGACCAGATTGGGTGAGTGGACAGGCAAGTCCCCAGGCTATAGCCTAAGTTAACAGCAGAGGGCCCGTCAGGCCTCACACACTCATCACCGCAGCTAGAGGCCGCTCAGGGGCTGCTGGTGGAAGCCATCACCGCCGGAATCTTGGGTGACCTGGGCTCCGGGGGCAATGTGGACGCATGTGTGATCACGAAGACTGGCGCCAAGCTGCTGCGGACACTGAGCTCACCCACAGAGCCCGTGAAGAGGTGAGTGCTGGCGATGGGGTACCACAGGGATGTGTGGGGCTGCAGCAGGGGAGATGGAGGGCTGCAAGAAGGGGATGGGCCACATGACAGGCCCATGTTCAGAGGCCGTCCCTCCTCTCTCCCAGGTCTGGCCGCTACCAGTTTGTGCCTGGAACCACAGCTGTCCTGACCCAAACCGTGAAGCCACTAACCCTGGAGCTAGTGGAGGAAACTGTGCAGGCTATGGAGGTGGAGTAAAATAGGTTGAGGCTTAGAGCTTGGAACAAGGGGGAATAAACCCAGAAAATACAGTTAAACAGATGGCTGTGTCATTCTTGAGTGGAGTAGGGTGGGCAGGCAGCCAGCAGGGCTCTGTAGCTAAGGCGTCCCTGCAGGGACCATTACTTCCCATAGCTCTAGTGTCTGGCCTAACAGATGCTCTTCACCCATCACCTCAGGCACCTACAGCTCCAGAACCCCAGCCCTGGCCAGCATTGCAGGCTTGATCTCCATCCAAACCTTCCTTCTGACTCCACACCTTGGAGGCTCCCCCATCACTCCACTGCCTTGCTCTTGCCCTCTAGTCCACTGGAGACTTGTAAAACACAAAAGACCCCATGACCCCTCCTAGGGACTTTCCATGGCTCCTCAGTGGCCCAGGACAAAGCTCATACCTTTCAGTAAGGCCTCACTGAGGGCTAAAGTGCTGACAAGAGGAGCCACTCCCTGACTCCAAGGCAAGTTCTCACCAAGCACTTCTCAACCTCACAACATCTTTACCGGTAACACCCCTCAGATGGCGAGGCATGCCTGCACTGCTCACCTGAAGCTTGGCTTCTGTCTGTACATGTTGGACTTGTGACTCCAAGTTTTCCGGGTTAAGAAGGCTCACAGGATTCACATGGGGAGAGAGGACACATTTCTCCAACAAACCTTTGCTGGGCCTCTGCTGAGTCTCAGGCCTGGCTGCTGGGTGCCAGCAAGAGCATCCTGCCCTTAGTGAAACAAACAGATGAACTCCACTGCAGCTTCAGAACTGTCAGGGAGAGTCGGCCCAGGCTCCAGGGAGGGTCTATGCCAGGCTGGACATCCCTGGGCCGCTGACTGCTCCCTGAGCCCCAACATTCTATTATGAATATTTGTAAATGTAACAGAAAAGTAGAGTTGTATATTGAACCTGATAGTATTTTGTTATATTTGCTTTATCATCTATCCATCTCTCTATCCATTAATTCATCTTTTTTTTTCTTAGAGTTTTGCTCTGTCACCGAGGCTGGAGTGCAGTGGCGTGATCTCGGCTCACTGCAAGCTCTGCCTCCCGGGTTCACGCCATTCTCCTGCCTCAGCCTCCTGAGTAGCTGGGACTATAGGCGCCCGCCACCACACCCAGCTATTTTTTGTATATTTAGTAAAGACAGGGTTTCACTGTGTTAGCCAGGATGGTCTCAATCTCCTGACCTCATGATCCGCCCGTCTCGGCCTCCCAAAGTGCTGGGATTACAGGCATGAGCCACTGTGCCTGGCCAATTCATCTCATTTTTTAAATGATGTGGTTTCTTTTTTTGAGACGGGGTCTAGCTCCATCGCCCAGGCTGGAATGTAGTGGTGCACTCATGGCTCACTGCAGCCTTGAAAAGGGCTCAAGTGATCCCTCCTGCCTCAGCCTTCTCAGTTGCTGGGACTACAGGTGTGTACCACCATGCCCAGATCATTTTTTAATTAAAAAAAATTTTTTTTGTAGAGACAGGGTTTCATCACGTTGCCCAGGCTGGTCTCGAACTCCTGCAATCAAGCCTCCTACCTCTGCCTCCCAAAGTTTTGGCATTACAGGCGTAAGCCACCACACCCAGCCCTGATCTGTTCTTGAATCAGTTAAAGCCCTCACACTCCCGGAAGCAGGCCAGCCAATGCACCTGTTGGAATTCTACACACAGGGTGTCTTCTCCCTTCAAGCTTGGCCTGCATCTCAGTAACAAATGGGCTGCAGACACCAGGGGCTTGCCCATGGGAGCACCCAGGCCTAGAGAGGGTGGCAGAGTTTTGATGGCTGTCACTCTCCACCTCCAACTGCAGCCTCAGTTCAGGGTCTGCCAGGCACCAAGAGCTCACACTTTGCCCTCCTAAATGCCAGGCACTTCACAAGCATCATCTCATTGTTAAGAGTGGGGGCTTCTTGGCTGAGCTCGGTGGCTCATGCCTGTAATCCCAGCACTCTGGGAGGCCGAGGTGGGCGGATCACAAAGTCAGGAGATCCAGACCATCCTGGCTAACACAGTGAAATCCCATCTCCACTAAAAATACAAGATTAGCCGGGCATGGTGGCGGGCGCCTGTAGTCCCAGCTACACGGGAGGCTGAGGCAGGAGAATGGTGTGAACCCGGGAGGCGGAGCTTGCAGTGAGCCAAGATCGAGCCACTGCACTCCAGCCTGGGCGAAGAGTGAGACTCTGTCTCAAAAAAAAAAAAAAAAAAAGACTGGGGGCTTCAGTGCCAGACAAATGCAGGTTTGTGTCCAACTCAACCACGTGCTGGTGGGAGAGTCACCATCTCTGAGCAGACCTGTGACTCCTGTTCCAAACGGATGAGGAACCACTGAGATGATGTGTTAGGACTCCCAACCTGCCAGAACCTCACGGCCCCTGACCCTTCACAGCAAAGTCGACCACAGTGAGCATTCCCTCCACCAGTCAGAACACCCTGGATGCTGAGTGGCCTTCTCTGAGAGCCTGGTGCCTTTGATAGCCCTGGGAGACTCCTCTGATCCCAGCCACCAGGTTGTCACTATAGACCTAATTTAACCATCTGCCCTCGGTACCCAGGGCTCAACATTTGGAATGGGAGGTGGTTCTGGGAGCCAATTAGAGGCCAGGCTTTGGGAGGTGGCAGAGGTGAGAGCCTCACACCTGGGCTCTGTCCGATAAGTATAGGCCTGGGTCAGGGGACCTTGCCTAAAGGGCCTCTCTTGACTGGAGCGTGGGAGGGGGCTGAGTCTACACAGCTGGCCTGGCCTCAGGCCTGGAGCTTTAGCTCAAGGACGAGAAGACCCATAAAGCCAGGCCCAGCTCCCAACCTCACATCTGCCACGATGCTGCTGCTCAGCCTGACCCTAAGCCTGGTTCTCCTCGGTTCCTCCTGGGGTGAGTGGGCCAGGACCAGCCCTGATTTAGACCTGGGAACAACTCAGCTCCCAGCACTAGCCCAGGGAAGGGGCCAGGCTGGCTGGAAGGGACAAAGGTGGACAGAGTGGGCAAAGGAAACAGGATATGCCAGGGCAGGGGAGCAGGACCAGGCCTGCAGGGCTGGGAGGGGGCAAGAGGTGGGGTGGGGGAGTCTCACGAATAGGACCAGAGCTTGAGCAAGGCTCTGGAGCCCGGGAGTGTTTAGGAAGCTGAGACAGGAAGAGCTGCCCATGACTTTTAGAAAGAACCTTCTGGCTGCATGAAGGGTATGTACTGTTCAGGCCTGGAGCGGGCAGAGAGACCAGGGGTAGAGATGGGGAACAGCGGGGACTAGGCTGGAGAAAGATGTGAGAGAACAGAAGCACTGGGGGACTGGTTGGATGGGGATAACCAAGATAGCTGTGGGGCCCGAAGGTGCCTGCATGTACCCTGTTGGGAAAGGGGTAGTGTTGTACCCTCTTGACTGACCTATCTGGGGTGCACAGCCTCGGGCACCCAGAAGGAGGTGGGGAAAGGTGGGCTGAGGCATAGGAAGCAGGTCCTCATTAGCCCAATGGCCAGGCTGCGGTGTTCCTGCCATCAAACCAGCCCTGAGCTTCAGCCAGAGGATTGTCAACGGGGAGAATGCAGTACCAGGCTCCTGGCCCTGGCAGGTGTCCCTGCAGGTATACCACCGGAGGGGTGGGCAGGGTCCTGGGTACGTCATGCCTAGGGGCAGCCTAAGCAGCCCAACCCCACTCTGACCTCTGAGCCCTGACCCCAGGACAGCAGCGGCTTCCACTTTTGCGGTGGTTCTCTCATCAGCCAGTCTTGGGTGGTCACTGCTGCCCACTGCAATGTCAGGTGAGCACCTGCACTCCACCTGCCCCGCCCCTCGCCTCTTCCTGCCTCCTCCCCTGGCTGTCCCCCTCTCGCTCTGGCCTCCATGCAGCTGCCTAACCCCACCCCTCTGCAGCCCTGGCCGCCACTTTGTTGTCCTGGGCGAGCATGACCTATCGTCAAACGCTGAGCCCTTGCAGGTTCTGTCCATCTCTCAGGTGAGTGCCTGGGTTGCAGACACAGAGGAAAAGTGGGCAGTGCAAGTGGATGGGTGCTGGGCATGGGGAATTCAGGACACGCCCTGGCCTACCCTGCTCAGCACCCATCAGCCCCAGGTGCCGGGGCCCACCCCAGCCCAACATGGACTGTATCTGACCCCACAGGCCATTACACACCCTAGCTGGAACCCTAGCACCATGAACAATGACGTGACACTGCTGAAGCTCGCCTCACCAGCCCAGTACACAACACGCATCTCGCCAGTTTGCCTGGCATCCTCAAACGAGGCTCTGACTGAAGGCCTCACATGTGTCACCACTGGCTGGGGTCGCCTCAGTGGCGTGGGTAGGAACTCAGGCCAAAGCTCAGGGTGGGAGGACTGGGGTGGGGACCAGTGTTCTGGGCCCCACCTGACTACCCCTCCTGACCCACAGGCAATGTGACACCAGCACGTCTGCAGCAGGTGGCTTTGCCCCTGGTCACTGTGAATCAGTGCCGGCAGTACTGGGGCTCAGATATCACCGACTCCATGATCTGTGCAGGTGGCGCAGGTGCTTCCTCATGCCAGGTGAGCCCAGCACCCGGTACTCTGCGCTGTCCTGTGGCACACCTCCCCAACCCCCCACACTCACTTCTCCCTCCCTCTTCCCTCTCAGGGTGACTCCGGAGGCCCTCTTGTCTGCCAGAAGGGAAACACGTGGGTGCTTATTGGTATTGTCTCCTGGGGTACCAAAAACTGCAATGTGCGCGCACCTGCTGTGTATACTCGAGTTAGCAAGTTCAGCGCCTGGATCAACCAGGTCATTGCCTACAACTGAGCCCACCACAGGCCCCTCCCCAGCTCAACCCATTAAAGACCCAGGCCCTGTCCCATCATGCATTCGTGTCTGTCTTCCTGGCTCAGGAGAAAGCAGAGGCTGTTGAGGGTTCGACTCCCTACTTGGACTTCTGGCATGGACGGGGCTGAGTGGCTCCTTGAGTAGCAGTGGCTCTTCCTAGAGTAGTCATGCCCAGGCCAGGGACCCCACCCCTCCTCCAGGGCAACCCCTTGGTCCTACAGCAAGAAGCCAGAGCTGTTGGAATGAATGGCAGCCCTCCCTGGAGAGGCAGCCTGTTTACTGAATACAGAGGATACATTTACAAACTGAATACGCATAATAAATAACTGCACATTCTCCATCCACGGTCCATGGCATGAAGGCCCAAGTGGGTCTATCAAAGGCACACATCTCCAAACCCCCTGTCCCGCCCTCAGGACCAGGCCCACCCTGGGCGAGAGAGAACATAATCCCCAGAGCTTCAGGTCCTCAGAGACAGTTAGGGAACTGGGAGGAAATCCTGAGGCCATGGGGCTTGGTTCTCCACTGCCTCCTGCCCAGGGGGCAGTGAGGACGGCAGGAGGGTGTGTCTAAGGCACAGTTGACTTGGCACAGAGTGGTCTCTTTAGTTTTGTTTCCCACTGTAGGTGGCACATGCAGGAAGAGGAGGGCCTGGCCCAGGCTGCCAACTGGCAGAAGCTGAGTGGGAGCCAAACCCTCCCCTAATGCCAGGGGCCCTGCAGTTGACCCAAGGCCAAAGCTGGGCCCTGGCCCCATTCTACCCACTGAAGGCAGCTGTGGAGGGAGGGTCTTGGGTTCCAGCCTGGTTTGTGGTGGGGGAGATACCACAACAGAAATGGGGACGGTTCTGCCTCAGGCCTCTGGGAAAGCAGCCACCCAACCCCACCTACCTCCCACAGGGGCTCCTTCCAGCTTTCGACTCAGCGGGACCCAGACTGGAAGGTTAATGCTGTGAAGGGAAGCAGCACAGGGTGGATGGGGCAAGGCCAGGTGTCAGAAGGCAGTGCCCCAGGCACCCAGGGTTCAGAGGCAGGTCACACAGTACGGCTAAGTTCCAGGGAGGGGTGCGCAGAAGCTCAGCAGAAGGGGAGAGGTGAGCAGCCTGGGACCCTCCCCCAGGGCGGCAACTCCTACCTTCCCATGTCTTCGTGGAGGACTACGGGTGTGCACGATGAGCGGGTGTGCACGATGGGTGTGCAGTGATCACTCCCAGGTTGCCAACACCCATGCAGACACCAGATGGCGTCTTTGTGCAGCTGCAGAGGAGGGAGCGACAGACCCTGAAGGGAAAGGGCAATGGGCTGCACCAAAGGATAGAACCCAGGCTGACACTGGACCCTAATGGGGAGGGGCCCCCTGCCCTCTGCCTTGGCCCCCAGGTGCCCTATCCCCCAGGTAGCAGCAGTGGGGCTCCCTTTAACCCCTCCCAGTTGGGAAGGAGGCACCTGGGGAATGGAATGAACATCCAATGGGGAGAGGGAGGTAGCAGTAGACTCTACAAAGAAGGCACCAAGGGCAGTGGGCTGGTGGGCAGAGACCCCTCAGAGTCTGAAGAGGTTGAAGCCTGGGCAAGCCAACGACCAGCATGGCCACAGAGTCCAGAAGGGTGAAAGTCCACGCCATGGCCCTACCACCAGAGGTCCTGGGACCAGGAAGGCTCCCTCTGGGCACCATGAAGGAAGACAGATCTTGATTACGAGGTGGAGGGTTGTTTGGATCTAGCTAGGGGCTACGGTTTCAGTCAAGGCACAAGCTTTGTGCCTACCAGGGTCTCCCACTGGAGCACAATCTGAAGGATCAGGATGCATGGGAATGTGTGGAGCCAGAGAAAGGGGCTCTGTGGAGGAAAGGGGGTCCCAGAAGTAACTGTCCCAAAGGGTCCTGAGGCCACAGGACACTTCACCCAGCACTGCAGGCCCCTTTGATTTGGGAAGAGTCAAAGGGCAAGGGAGACAGTGAAGGCCAGGTCCTATCCCTTCCCAGCTCCACCAGAGCAGCTGCCCACCAAGAGGGGTATCAGTGCCAAGCCAGGCTCTCAGTTCAGGGGGAGTCACAGCCCCCTGGGCTACCTCCACTCTGTCACACCTGGCCCAGGTCCATAGTGAGGACAGGGGCTGCTGAGGGCACAGAGAAAGGGCCGGAGCCAGACATTCTTCACCTACTGCGGGCTACATGAGCCTATCTCCAGAGAGGGCATCAGGCACAGATGGCACCGCAGTGTGTGGCCAGGCTGGCCCATGCTGCATGTATGCAGAGCCAGGCGGCTCAGCCATTGTACTGCTGTTGGTAGCGCAGGTTGAGCTCCCGCAGCTCCCGCTCCCGCACACGGCGTGACTTGTTGGAGCGTGTGGAGCGGCTGGAACGCGTGGACTGGGCAGATTTGGTGCTCTGGCAGCGCGAGGAGGCACGTTTGAGGAGGTTCTGGGATATGGAGCGGTGCAGGTTCTTCATGGATGAAGAGGCAGCCATGCTCACCACCCACGGGTGCCTCAGGGCCTGCAGTGCAGTCATACGGGCTCCAGGGTCCACCGTCAGCAGGCGGTCAATGAAGTCCTTGGCCAGGTTGGACACACTAGGCCAGGGCTAGAGACCAAGGACAAGCATTAGAGTGAGAGTATCCGACACTGCCCACCCCATCTGGATGAGGCCACTACCCAGCATCCCTTCACTTTCCTAAGGTGCTGCCCCTCCTCTCATGTAGTGCTTGGGGCCTCCCTGCCCAACGCTGGCCCAGGCTGAACAGGGGCTGCTCTCCAGGTGATGGAGTCTGGCAAGGAAGGAAAGGACCCGTCCACTCTCCCAGGGAGCAAACTTCTATGGTGCACTGGACCCAAAGCCTGGCTCAGGGAGATGGCCTCTGCCAAGACCCCCCAACCTGCCCCAGGAGTATCGTAACTCAGGGGAATGTAAGAGAATGACTCAAACTTTTCCACCACATCCTAAGTCAGATTGAAGCTCCAATCTCTGGATGACCAGGATCAGGCCACTTAGAGGGGAACTTCCCAGTCCTTACAGAGAAGGTCCAACCTCTCTCCAACTACCAAAGCAGTGGTAGGAGACCACTACTCCCTGCCTCCGCCTCCCAGCGTGGGGAGGAAAGGAAACAACTCAAGGCAACTAGATTTCCCCGTTGGCTGAGGGCAGGTACTCCTGGGACCAGGCAGGAACCAGGACCCTTCTCAGTGGCACCCTCCAGCCCTCATTACTTCTCTAAGCCACAAAGGGCTCCTGGCAGTGCTGTGCGCCAGCCTCATTTTTTTTTTTTTTTTTTTTTTTTTTGAGATGGAGTCTTGCTCTGTCACCCAGGCTGGAGTGCAGTGGCCGGATCTCAGCTCACTGCAAGCTCCGCCTCCTGGGTTTACGCCATTCTCCTGCCTCAGCCTCCTGAGTAGTTGGGACTACAGGCGCCCGCCACCTCGCCCGGCTAGTTTTTTGTTTTTTTGTTTTGTGTTTTTTTTTTTGAGATGGAGTCTCGCTCTGTCGCCCAGACTGGAGTGCAGTGGCCGGATCTCAGCTCACTGCAAGCTCTGCCTCCCAGGTTCACGCCATTCTCCTGCCTCAGCCTCCCGAGTAGCTGGGACTACAGGCGCCCGCCACCACACCCGGCTAGTTTTTTGTATTTTTTAGTAGAGACAGGGTTTCACTGTGTTAGCCAGGATGGTCTTGATCTCCTGACCTCGTGATCCACCCGTCTCGGCCTCCCAAAGTGCTGGGATTACAGGCTTGAGCCACGGCGCCCGGCCGTTTTTTGTATTTTTTTAGTAGAGACGGGGTTTCACCGTGTTAGCCAGGATGGTCTTGATCTCCTGACCTTGTGATCCGCCCGTCTCGGCCTCCCAAAGTGCTGGGATTACAGGCTTGAGCCACCGTGCCCGGCCCAGCCTCATTTTAGTACATTCTGTCCCCTGGGAGGAACTCCACAAAGCCCACTCTACCACGTGCACCCAGGGCTGCCTCATCTCAGCTGTGAACCCAGCAGCTGTCTGTCTCAGGGCCTCAGGCTGCATGCTGTCTTCACCTGGCTGGATCCTCAGGTTCTCAGGGTAAAAGACACTTGCTCAGACTCCCTCTTAGCCCCCAGTGCTTCCAACAATTATTCCAGCTGTAACTTGAGACTGCAATTTCATGTTGGTTTATTATTCCCGTGAGATCATGCTGAGCTGGATGAGCCCCAGTGCCTGGTGCTGCACATATAGGAAGCACTCAGCAGGCACAGGCTCAGCGAGTAAACAACCCACGGTGCTGCCGGATGGGTGCCCTTTCCCGAAGCTGCTTCCAGGCCCTGGGGCTTAGCCAGGTGAGTCCTTGCGTCCCTGCATCTCCTAGGAGCACTTTTGGCACAGGCTCTGATGCCTACCCAAAGGGTAGGCAGCTAGGACCTTTCCTGAGCATGCTGCAGATGACTCAACAGGGACGCTAAGGATGCCATCACTTTCCTTCCTGCCAGCTGAGGTCTGCCTGTTCCACCCATGGTACCCTTCACCTTGAGGAACCCCTGAACATGCCAGGGATCTGAGAGCCCACCTTCAGGGCAGGTGCACAGCCATGTAGCAGACACACACACACACACTGACTACTGCTACCCCCAGTCTGGCTCCCTTGACTTCTAACTCTTCCCCTACCCCCTTCCCCACTGCCACAGAGGGGTGAGGCAGGGAGAACATGCTTCCACCTTCCTGAGGAAGGGCTGGGGCTACCTGCAGCTTCTGTCCTCACCCACTCTTTGGAAGGTTATTCCAAGTTTTACTGAGCTGAAGTGGGAGCAACAAGGGAACCACATTCCCAAACACACCTAATAGGGTCATCCTCATCATTGGGCCAGCAGCACCCAGTGACTCTTGGGGAGACGCTGGGCCTGAGGAGGAGGAAAGTCAGGGAGGGTCCAGGAGCATGCAGTCAACGGAGGCCCATAGATGCCTTACTATCCAAGGGCTGTGGGTGGGCGCAGAGAGCAACAGCCCTCCCACATAGGCAGGTAAGTCTCCTGGGGGCTTGTGTACTTCAATATTCATATTGAAGGCCGGGCGTGGTGGCTCACACC